AAAATTGTATTGATCCATATACTTTTCAATAAGTTAAAGAATTATAATGTTAAAAATATAAAAAACAATTTTTTTACAAACATCGTATTTTTTTTATTAACTTTGATGTCTGTTTTCACTGTGAAGACAAAATAAAGTCCGAATGTTTTTTTTTCATAATAAAGTATATTACATTAGTTTTATTTTAAGATTTATATATAAAAGTGTTAGAGTTCTGGAACACTTTCAAAAGTTACAGCAGTTTTTAATAATAAAAATTGAAAACAAACTATTTTAAATTTGTAATTTTTTTGGAGATTTCCCTCATTTACGGGAAATTTTTTCAATTTTTGAGGTTAATGTCTTAGACTAGATACAATTTATCAACTATTGAAGTATTGTTAATCAAGATTGATCCAGTGAGAGTTGATAATAAGTGGTAACAGACAAAAAAAAACATCATAGTAAAACCAATACCTTTTCAACTTCGAATCGATGCTAAAATAATTAAGAATAAAAAAAAATTGTTTTAAATTAATACTGATTTTGATTATTAATATGCAAAAAATAAGAAAGATTACATATTTAACTATTTTTTTATTATTTAAAGTTGATTTTTGTGAAAGTTTATAATTTAAAAAAATTAACTTATTAGCTCAATTTGTAAGTTTGAAATTGACATCATTAAATAGGATATTTTACGAGAAATAAAAAAATTGTATCGTTAAGATTAATATGCAGTCAGGAAATTTTATAATAATTATTTATAGTAAATTTATCAGAAAAGCTCAATATTTTTTTACATTTTTATATGTTATCTATTATTTATCTATAAGTTATCTATTACGATAACTTAAATAGAAATAATAGTAATCATTTATTAGTAACATTTGGTTTATAAAAAGATTCTACAATTGAAATATTAACTGAATTAATTTTAATGATTTACTTTAACTAAAATAACTAATGGTTAACCTTAACTAACTTAATGGTTTTCACAATGAAGACAAATCCAGAGGTCAATTTTTTTTCTTCAAATTAAAGTATATTATATAAGCTTTAATTTAAGATATATATAAAAGTGTCAGTCTTTCCGGAACATTTTGAAAAGTTAAGTTTAAAAAGTTAATTTTTTGTGAAAGAGTTACCATTTTGAAACCCTTCCTGTGGGCTGAGAAAAGGGTCAAATGTTCACAAAAATATATCAAATGATAAGTAAATACCTAAGGTATCTATTAAAAAAAAAGTTATATTGATTCGATCAATTAAAAAAAAGTTATGGCAATTTTAAGTATAAAAAAATGTCGAAAATTAGGGATTTTTAAATTTGTAATTTTTGGGGTGATTTCTCCTGTTTACGGGGAACAAGAGCAATTTTTTCAATTTTTGAGGGTAACGTCTTCGATTAGATATGATTTTTGGTCTTTTGATGTTTTGTTCATCAAAATCAGTCCAGCGAGAGCTGATATTGAGCGTTCACAGACAAAAAAAACACATCATAGTAAATTTAGTACCTTCTCAGCTTTGCATTGAAGCTAATAAAAAATAATTTTAAAACTAAGATCAAGTCCACGTGTCACCTGACATTAATATATAAAAAAGTAATTATATTAATTAACGTGATATTTTCTCGGCATTTTCAATTATACATAGAAGAATTTATATTTGATATTAAAGTTAATTCTATGAATTCTCGTTTTCTTGATAACGTAGCGCTTCTATATTTTTAATATATTCTGATGGTATAAACCATAGGATTTTACTGAATGGTAAAAACCTCGGATTCGACTTATCATCATATTTTTGATAAATAAAAAAATAATATCAATTTATAAAATTGTTTGAAAAATATTTTTCACTTTATATATTTACTGTCGTGGTGTGGCGTGGTGGACACACTAAATGTTGACAAAACTCAATACAATCAAAATCATCAATGCATGGATGCATTTTACGATGGCAAAAAGCACCATGTCCACAGTGCAGAAGGTAATGGGAAACCACTACACTTATCCATTCTCTAGTAATAACAGTTCACTTTATAGTGAACAAGAGTATCTGGTATCCAACATCCAAAAACGGATAGGAATAAAAAGAGAAAGATATTTACTGTCAGCTACTGGTAATAAAAATCCTTCATGAGATAAGAAAAAGTTATTTTCACATAATTTTATTGGATGTGCTGTAGCATTTCCAGCACACTCGCTAGTTGCGCCCATGGATCATACATATTTTTTTCTGTTATTATTTTTGTCATTATTCTACATGATAGTTGATAACCAAGGAAATTACTTCAACTTATACATTTGTTTATAACTTTGAATATTCGAATTAAATTCCCAAGAATAAGTTCAACTGTTTGCACTTATCGTAACAATTGCTTCGATCGTCTCTTGTTATTTACAGATCATTTGTCTGAAAGTAGAAACAAGTGGTGCATGGTATACAATCAACTTCAAGGTTAATGTCTTTAAGTCTCCACCCAAAACCGGTTTTCGATTGTCGCATTATCCGCCCGTAGAGCTTTTCTTGTTATGTTAGATAAAACATCGTACACGTGAAAAATATAGTGTTCTAAAGTATGTGTACCATCTAATGTAAATAATTCAAAATATAATAAACAGAAAGCATTATATGAAAGCGGATACAGCCGTTGGTTAAGATTTTTGTTGCAAAATGTTATCGCTGGTCGTTGAACCTCTAGTACCCAGTCGGGGTCTTTTTTGTTTCTCTTGCCGTTAACTTATGTTATTCTATAACACATTATTATTATCAATTTAAATCGATATATCTATACACCGAGCACACAGTATTCAGCATGATAGTATATTTTTGATTTCGGATAGATATCTTTATATACACTGTTTGAAAAAAAAAGTACAAAGTGCGGCACAAATAACTATCTCTTTAAAAATCGCATAATTAAGTAAAATATTAACTAAATTAAATATTTTTTTTAATTTAAATTCTCAAAGATCTCCTATTTAATGGTCAAAAATTACATCTAGCATCACCACTATGATAAACAGTTATCCGCTCTTTGAAATTGATCTTTATTCTGCCACAAAGGGTTTGATTAGTTTCACACGTTTACTTTCTGTCTTTAATTCAATAATGGTTTGAGTTTTGATTTTACAAAACGCAAGAACGTTTCTTAACTAAACGTATTTCCTAAAAAAAAGTTTAAAGGATTAAAGTCCTAAGAATTTAGGAAGAAAATGAAACGTGTAATTTTTTAAATTAACAGAACAGTTTGTGGCTTAACTTACAGATGGTATACTTTAGTTATCATCAAATTCTATGAGCCGATAATTGTTTGTTGAAACTCCAAAGGTGATCAACTGCTAGATGTAATTTTAGAACATTAAATCAAAGATCTTTGAGAATGTAACAAATAAATAGTTAAAAACTTGAGTCATTTATTACTGAGTAGTCCGATTTTTGAAAAGGTTACTTATGCCGCATTTTTGATATTCAGATATTTTTGAGATATCGCGAAAATCAAAAAAAAAAAATTAAAAAAAAAAACTGTTTGAATTTTGGTCACTTTGTTATATTTATTTTAAAATATATATTATTTGATATTAGGCCAAAAACAGTTCGTAATAACTTTGTTAACATTTTTCTTATTAAAATATATTTTTATATTAATATCATTGTCCGAATTGGTTAGTATACCATGAGCTGATTTATACAACTAAACGGTATTATTGAAAATAAAAAATTGGTAAAAATATTTAAATATTAAATTCAATTTTTTTTTTTCGTTATTGTGATGTAATATTGCTGGAATTCGTTACGATATCGATATTCAAAAATATATCGTTGACGAACTCTACTAATTATTATATGACAAGAAAATTATATGTGCCAATTGTTCAAAGCGAATACATAAATCATATTTATGAAGAGAAGTAGTCTGACATCGTTATCATTTCTACTAAAAACCTTTTTAAATTGAATTTTACAATTCATTGAACATATAAAGTACGAAGTACGTGAAAACATTTCTTATTGTTTTACTTATTATCAACTAATAAATCGTATGAATAATAATCTCTAAGTTGAAATTCCTGAAATACAAAAAAAGTTTGTTCTGGAATCATCATTTTGATCAAGTTTATTAGAAAGTCGTAAATACAACAACGTCGAAAACAAAAAAACTTAATATTTCAAGCAGGATTTTACGTTTTAAATGTGTTTAAAGCATTAAAAATTTCTTTATGCGTCTTATAGGATATATTAAACAGTTTATTTATATTTTAAACAGGTTTTTTACAAAAAAAGGGTGTTTTTTTACAACTCTGATTTTAAGCATATATTTTTATTTACACCCAAAGAAAAACCTCAATCAAAATTGAAAGAGTTTATGATAATGTTTTATTAATACGAACAAAATAACTATTCTTATAAATAATTATTGTTCAAGACAAGAAAAAAAAAATATCATATTGATAAATATATCATTGATTCAATAGTAATGATATATTTATCAAATTGAACAATGAATTTATTATATAGATCGAGGTTTTTCTCTGGGTGTATTACTAGTGTTAACTGTCATTAATGATACAAATTAAGAATTTATTTACGATTACGTTATAATTGATTGAAAATTTAACTAACAAAAAAACACGCGGAGAATTACGAAGAAAACTAGAAAAATTAAATTTTACACTTATTGTAGTTACTGTTGGGTTAGTGTGATACAATAATTATTTCTTTTGTCGTGTATTTTATTCCTAAAAATATTCACAACAACTAATAGATGTTATTTAGATAAATTAATACGTTTTGCATTTTATAATCTTAAGTTTCCGGCATTATAAGATCTGATATAATTTTGATAGTAACTGTGTTATGTATACCTACAGATTTATTACTTTAGAACTACTTTAATCAAGGCCATCATAGAATTAACGTGTAGTGTTTAGATTGGGTGTAACACATCACAATAGCTTGTCTATAAACCCTCGTTGGGGGAACATACCGAAGAGTTTGACTATAAAAGAACATACAAATAAATCATATGTTGTATTGTAGATTTCAAGACGGCCACAAGTGTGCCATTGCATAGATCTTTCCGAAATCGTTTTTTTTTCAAAAAAAAAAATACAATGAAGGTAAGAAACTATTATTAATTGATATATCAGTATTAATAGTTATCAGTATTAATATCTAAAACATTTTAGCTTTGATGCGAAGCTGAGAAGGTATTGGTTTTACTATGATTTTTTTTTTGTGTCTGTTACCACTTTTTCTCAGCTCTCACCGAACCGATTTCTTTCAACGATACGTCAACAAAAGATCACAAATCGTATCTAATCGAAGAAATTATCATCAAAAATTAAAAAAATTTCCCTCGTTCCCCGTAAATGCAGGAAATCTCCAAAAAAATTGCAAATTAAAAAATAGTTTATTTTTGAATTTTTTTTAATTTTTATTATTAAAAACTGCCATAACTTTTTCAAAAATGACCAAATCAATATATTTTTTATTTTATAGATGCATGATATTTTTACCTATTATTTTATATATTTTTTTTATAAATTTAACCCTTTACCAGCCCACAGGTGGTGATTCAAAATGACAACTTTTTCACAAAAAGTAACTTTTTCAACTTAACTTTTGAAAGTGTTCCGGAATTACTGAAACTTTTATATATATCTTAAATTAAAGCTAATGTAATATACTTTATTATAGAAAAAAACAATTTAGGACTTTATTTTGTTTTCATGGTGAAAACAGACATCAAAATTAATAAAGAATTGCCTCTTTCATTCGACATACTTTTTTTTTAAATAAAACCATTACCTATATATATATTTATTCATATATTACACTTATAAAACATAAAACTTGTAATCATGATATAAATAAATAAGGAAATAGGAGATCATGTAGTATTAGAATAATTCACCAATTTTTTAAAATTAAACACTAACTATAGATATGTATCGAAGCGTTTTTTATGATAGTGATTTTAATCATTGTCAGATATCATTATACTTGACCCAACTATGCCACGTCACCACTGTGCCGCGACCTCACAGTGCTGGTTTTTTTATTTTTATATGTTTGTAAAATATTATTTTAAGGGTTAAATCAGGTTATTTTTGATGATTAAATTTTTATAATTAATAAGAAAAATTATTATAATAAGAAGTACTTCAGATAATAAAATGTATAAGTCGTTTAATTTTTATTAATAAACATAAATAAAACGTTTACTCATTTTATAAATAAAAATTATTTTATGAACCCACATCTTTTCACATTAATAATTTAATATTTGTTATATCGCTCCTTTATTAATTGTCTCACTATAATAAATTTAATTTGAGCAGCGAATTTATCTATAAATTAATTTGGTATAATTAGAAATTGTTGAATTGGGTTAAAAATGATTTTGATTGGAGAACATGGACATAATTTAAATCATTTTGTAGTACTTATAAATATTGAGGTAGCCATTATTTAATTTGTTTAATTTTCGTTACTAATGCCGTTATGATATAATTAATGGGAGGTTAGCTAAGATAATAGTTTGGTTTAAATGATATACTAAAACGAGAGTAAGAGGAAGTAGCGATCGCTTCAATAATTCAATTAATTAATGTTGGATTCGATTAGTTTTTTTGTTTATCAGTTACAAATTTTGGAAGGATAATCGTTTTTAATATTAAAATATCGAGCTTGGTACATTACTACACCCTGGAAGCTTAACATTGTAATACGGAATTTTCGATATGCACTGCCTACCCCATTTGACAAATAATAATATTTGTTGTCGTGATACTTACTAATTGCATTATATAATTTTTTCAGGTAATTACTCTGTCGTTTTTCCTAGTCTCTCTATCCATCGCCAATGCCGGTGTGATTGCTTATCCTACACACACTATTATAGCTGGTCCACCTGCAGCAGTTATCGCTCCTGCACCAGCTTTAGTTCGTACCCCCAGCCTGGACAGTGCTGTTGTCCATTCAGAAAGAGTTGGAGGTAATTTTGCATACAGCACAGTCGAAGGACACGCTTACACTGCACTTAATCCAGTAATTCAACATGTAAACGCTCCTGTGGCCATTACCTACAGGTCACAACCAGTAGTTGCTCCTGTGTCTGTTGTTGCATCACATCCTTTACTACCCGCTGCAGCTGTTTATGCGCCGGCTAAGACTATTTATTACACTCATTAAGATAAAATATTAGTCAATTTTTTAATTTAAGTTAAATATTTTTTTTATGATGTAGTTTTAAAATTTATCAATAATCGTTTTAAAGATTTTTGAAATATACATTGTGTTCTTTTATATTAAAAAAAGCCTTATTGTATTTTAAATATTTTAAGAAACAAACCATTAGATGCAATAATAGTTTTCATTGGAATATGTTTAAATATACATTTATCATACTATTTTAATTGAAATATTCATAGATAATAAAGCATAGTTTCATTTTTTTATAAGAGCAAATTTCTCTAATAAATAAGTAAATCATTCAATAATTAAAGTTTAATATAGATTTTTGACGTAAAAGCAAATGTATTTAATTTTTAACTGTAAGAGCAACAGATCTTCCTGCGAAAATCTCCCATAAAATTCTAGACTAGTTCATAAACGGATCCCAAATTTTTTCTAATTATATAATTAATTAAACTTATTCTAACCATTGACATAAATAAGAAAAAAGATCATGGGGCTAAGTCCCCAAAAGTAAAATTGTTTTATTAAAATTTATGAAGGGCTGCGAGGGAATTTTCCCTATTGATTTAAAATAAAATTTGTTTTGTATAAAACAATTTTATAATAGTATAATAGTATTTTATACTACTATACAGGTGTTCAGTAAGTAAGGAAGTAAATCAATTGTGTGGTGCTCGCATAAAAGAGCTCAACTACAAAAATTGGGTAAATGAGGATAAATACTTGATTACATAATAAAAATTTTCTATTATTTGTGGCTGATATTATTTAAAATCAAAACTATTTTAACCCTTCAGCAGGCGCGTGACTATTTTTAACGTTCATAGTCGCGCAGGGGTCTATCAGACCCTATTTTTAAAAAAATATAAAATATGTATAAAAAAGTTCATTTTTTTTAATTCAGACATTATTTGTTACCATATGATATATAAATATGGATAAAAATTCAAAAAGTCAAATTACAAAGTTATGTGCATTACTAAAAATTATATTACAAAAAAAAAAAAACTTAATTTTCAAAATTTTATTAAAAAATTTTGATTTGTAAAAAAATTATTTTAACTGCAAAATCTTATTTTTAAGAAGGTAAACAAAAGCTTTTACTTTTACAAAATGTATTTTAATTAATTTCTTTGAGATTAAACACAGCTTATATTTATTAGTTTTATGTGTATTTACACTTACATAATCATTTTTCTGAATTGAATTTTTTCATTATTAATATTACAATTCCTTTAATTATTATGATACGAGTATATACAATTATTCGTTCTTAGTAAACGCATCGATTACTGATAATCAATGTGTTCACATTGCAACGCGATGTATTTATTACATGTTTTGTTCTTATTTGTTCCGTATCATTGATTAGTGGAAATTCTAAAAGATTATTTATTTTTTAAATTTAATTGCACAGTCGGTGGCAGATTCACATAATTCCAATTCCACAATATTATATAGATTATAACATTGCATATACGATAAAACTATATTTTGAAAAAAATAAAAGTCCAAAAAAAATTATAACGTTACAAGTCGCGTGGGGGTAAATATCTTATTCTTTTTTCGAAGGTATTTATTTATGAAAATCGATTCAACATTACTATAAAAACCATCTTCTAAATTTATATCCATGTACACCTTTCATGCAATATAATACATCCGTTTTTATTTATGTGGAGGTATGCTAGACCCCCCCGCGACTGTAAAAGGGTTTAAAAATATTATTAATTAAAACTGTAAAATTAATAATATTTTTAATATAGTTTTAACTTTAAATACATCATTATACTAAACAAAAATAATCTTTTTTTTTGTTGTCTAAAGAGATATTAAACGATTAATTTTGAACTTAAGATCTTTTACCTGAGCATTATAGAATTGTTACAAAGAGAACAATGGAAACTCGTTTCTTTACTTACTGAACACTCTATAAAATATGCATACTTTAAGTTCAAAATTTAGAAAAAATATAATTTTTGTAGTTATTTCATGGCAACTATTGATTTTACAAAAAGTCAAACTATACATTTTTGTAAATTAAATAACTTTTTATAGATTATTTTAACACTTTATACAAATTTTCCATTTTTATTTTATTTGCATTAATCTATTTAAGTATGTAAAATTAAAAAAATGTATATCACTAATGTTGTAATATATTTTTACTTAAAAAAAAGAAAAAGAAATATTTTAGTATTAAACTAACAGTTTACAGCAAAATTATAGAAAATAATGAAAAAATATTCCAGATTCAGAAATAATTAAAAAAATATTTTTTAGATTAAAAAAGTACCCGGTGTATTTTTTTTATTTAAAATTATAATGTAATTAAAGGTTAAATATATTTCTCATATATAATTTTTATTGAAAGAATAATTGCAAAAATCATAAAAAACGAAAATTTTATTTTCATCTGATTTTTTTAGTTTTTTATTAAAACAATTGAACAAAAAAATATAAAAACATGCCTGATAGCAAATAAGTTTCTGATAAATTTTCAAATAAGTTAAAACTTGTGCAAAATTACTTATTATTATAACTAATAATTTTTTATATTTTCTTTTGATTTTGAGTTTAAAGAGAGCCATATTAATCATTTCAAATAAAGCTCAAAATTTGTGTATCTAATTTTTAGTAAAATAGGACATTTTTTGGGCAGAACTTCTCGAATGATATGACTTTAAAAATAATAGCTACCCTATTACATCAATAGATTCGGTCCATAGATATTAAAAATTAATTTTTATAACTTAAAAAGTATTATTTACAGAATTGTATTAACTTGAAACCATATACCAAAAAAAACAGGCAATAATAAACTACTATACCTGTAAAAATAAGTTAATATTTATTTAAGCCTATATTTCCTAATACCTAATGTATTTTAATTGTAGTTAAAAATAAAATAAAAAATACTTCAATAAATCTAGGCAAAAATATAAAAATGGCAGAATCAAGAAAATAAGATTTTTTACATTAAAAACAGGTTACAGAGTTTACTTATAACTAATATTATGAACAGATAATAACTGAAAAATAAAAATAAAAAACATAAATTAGCTAATTATAATTTTGTAGCATTCAATTATAAATAAACTATTTTATTTTTAACTATATATTCTAATCCCTTATTTTATTAAGTATATATAGTTCTAAAAAAAAAAAAATTATAAATAAAAAAATAAAGTCTTTCTATTATAACTCATAAACAATTTATTTATTAGTTTTTTCAATTAATTCAGGCACAGCTTTAAATAAGTCGGCAACCAAACCATAGTCAGCAACTTGAAAAATTGGAGCATCAGCATCTTTATTAATAGCCACAATTGTTTTAGAGTCTTTCATACCAGCAAGATGTTGAATTGCTCCAGAAATGCCAATAGCCATATATAGTTCCTACAAATAAAAATAAAAGGTTTATTTTAATAATATTAAGATAAAAACATAAATTATTTTTACTAACTGGTGCAACAATTTTCCCTGTTTGACCAATTTGCATGTCATTTGGTACAAAGCCAGCATCTACAGCCGCTCTTGATGCACCAACAGCAGCACCCATATTATCTGCCAAATCATAGATAATTTTGAAGTTTTCAGCTGATTTGACACCTCGACCTTCACAGTAAAAAAAGCAAAGAATATTTAATATTTATTTAGTATTAAATTAAGTTTTATTAATTAATTGACTTTACCTCCAGATATAACTATTTTAGCAGAAGCCAAATCAGGACGATCACTCTTACTTAATTCTTGGCTAACCCATTCAGATCCACTTCCTTTTTCATAACTATTATCATTTACAGCATCCTCAACACTTCCAGAACCACCATCACCAGCAGCTTCAAAACTAGTACTTCTTACAGTTACTACTTTAATAGGATCTAATGACTTTAAAGTCATAATAGCATTACCTTCAATTAAAATAATCTAATAATTTATGAGTTAAAAATTAATTACATATACATATTAGTTTAAATGATTATATAAAATACTACTATAACTCTACCAAAAATAAAGTCAGTTTTTTTAAATAACACAGTTTCACAAAAAAATCAAATGAAAAGTTCTAGTAAACACACTATGTTTACTTTATGTTTTTGGGGTAGCTGAGTCCGAATCGGGGGTTTACTTGATGTTATCACGTCATGGTTTTTCATAACCTCAAAAAATATGCTTAAGAACCAAGTTATTCATTAGGAAATAAGACAGGCTAATTTATTACCTAAATCTACTATGCTCAGAGCTTTAACCTGTAAAAAAGCCTAACCGTACTTGGACTAGACTGACCTAATCTGACTTAATCAAGTTTAACCTAAAAAAATTGTAAAAATAGTATGAAAAAGCAAACCATGTTTACTTTATGTTTGTGGGGTTTCTGAATCCGAATCTGAAGTTTGTTTGATCACATCAAGGTTCTTCATAACCTCAAAAAATGTACTAAAGAACCAAGTAATTACTCAAATAAATCAACAGGGCAATTTCTATACTAATACCACTGTCCTCACCTTGTACAGTATTAGCACTGAAGTATTGTGTGATCATATTACTATATTAAGCCAAAAGTACTCTCAGTCTAAATGTTGTTAGGATTTTTACAGGTTAAGGCTCTGCGCATAGTAGATTTAAGTTACAAATTTCCCTGTCTTACTTCCTAATGAATAACTTGGTTCTCAAGCACATTTTATGATGTTATGAAAAACCATGACGTGTTGGCATCAAGTAAACCCCCGATTCGGACTCAGCTACCCCACAAACATAAAGTAAACATGGTCTGTTTACTAGCACTTTTCATTAGATTTTTTTTGGGGAGCTGTGTAATTAATTATGATTGTGTAAAAAAATTGTTTATGGGACTTTTGTAAGCATTTAAAATTGTTAAACCAGCAATTTTTTTTTTTTTTAATACTGTAATAAAATAGAATATATCTATATAATATTACCTGCATAAATTGTACGTACAAATGTGTCTGGTGACTTAATATCTATAACATCTGTAACTGGAGAAACGTCCAACAATGCAGCTACTCTTGGCAAGAGAGATTTGCTTTGAGCACTAGAACCGGCTAATACATGTGTAGCATTAATTTTTTTTTGAGTTGCTAACACTAGTGGAGCTAATTTTTCTGGTAAAAACCCTTTAAAATCTTCACTTTCAGCTTTTAACACTTTTGTTACACCACTAACTTTGGAAACCTGTTCAACTACCTATATTAAAAAGAAATTATTTACAAAAAAAAGGAATTACTACTAGTAATTTATAAATAATTCATTTTTTTTTTCATATTATGAATTAAAATCGTGGAGAGATTATATAATAAATATTAACATACTGATTCAATTTTAGTTCCAGCAACAAGTACAGATATATCTCCACCTAGTTTTTTTGCAGCTGTAAGAGCATTTCGTGTTACTGCTGCTAATGTTTCATTATTATGTTCAGCAATTATCAGTGTGCTTTGTAACCGATATCCATTAATCTTAACGTAAAATTATACAGATTTATTATAATTCTCTTAACACTTATTAAAATTATTACAAATTTAACAATACTTACTTTAAAAGTAAAATTCTTAGAATTTTTCAATATACTTCCAATCATTTTTACAATTTTTTAACACAATAAAAATAAAGCGATATAGGAAAAATAGCAACAGGAAGTAAATTGAGTTTGCAATTAAATAATACAACAAACATATGATATGAAATTATATTATTTGGTCAAAGGGTACATTAACAAAATCAGAAAGATATAAAAAAGATAAAAAAATTAGTGGGGATTTTGAAACTTATCATTATATTTATCAGTATAATCAAAAACATAATACTGTATTATCAAAGGTATTTTACAGTATTAAAAAAATCCATCAAAGTATTAGTATTATGAAAAACAAATTATATGATATTTTAACGTTCATGTATTAGAAATTTCAATTATCGTTTTTACAAAATAATCAACAAATTTCATTACTTAATTTGAATGTGAATTATTATAAATTTAAACCTTAAATCAATTTATAAAGTGAGTAAATATTAAAAATCGGCATAATTGAATAAATATTAGTTTTAGCTTATGTAAGAAAAAATGTTTATTATGAATTTATAATAAATTCAATATTGGAAATTGATTCATGTTGTATTTCATATATTAATAAAATATTTTTTATTAAATTTAATAAAGAGATAAATTAATTTCAAAAAGTATTGTTTATAATATACCATACTTTTAGTTAATATAACTATCTCATCTAATTTTAATTATAGATTTATACATTCTTATCATTCTTATTTTTTAAAGTTTTTCGAAATGCCTAAAAAATTTGTTGGTATGAATTCAAAAGCAATGGAAGCTAAAGCTCGAAAAGATACATTAAAGTTAGAAGCTGATGCTAAAAGACAAAAAGCTATTGAAGATGAGTTTTGGAAGGATGATGACAAAAATATTGCTAGAAAACAAAAAAGAAAAGTAAATTATTTTGTTAGAAGTTACCATTTTTATACTAGGGAATAATATCGATTGAAAGGGTTTGTTCATTTACAAAGTTTTTTTCTCAAAATATTCAAGATATCTTATAATTAGTTTTCAATTATATTTAAAAAAAAAAAGTTATAATATACATATTGTGTATATTTACGTGGTATAATGAATTAATACTTAATATTTTAAGACATACTAAAGACTTTATCTAATTCAATAAATTCTTCTTATGTCATTCATTGATTTGATAATAATATTTATTAGCTAATAATACTTTGAAATCTCCATTAATTTATGTATTATCTTTTATTTTTATATTACAGTAAAACTCAATACGTCAAATTTTTTTTCTGTTTCTCTTGAAATTTACTATAACAATTGATTTAATTCTTAAGAATCTCCAATATAAATTTTATATTGTATTATTGCTTTAAGATGTTTTAAACAAACTAATTATTATTTTAATTAATAGTATAATATGATCTGCAAGTGATAGGATATTTAGTATAATTTTTAATTATAATAAACATTTTATTAATGAAATTATCTTTTTAATATCAAATTTGTTTTTATTTTTTCATAAAATATAAATTTTGGTAATAATAATTATGACCAAAACCAAGAGCTAATTGATAGGTTTACTGTGCCAAACCTTGCCCTTAGCAATTATTTCACAATATAAATTAAATTATACATAAAAAAAAGTATTGCTATAGTTAACTAGCTAGTTATTTAGACTTAAGCACCCTCTTTATTTATTTCTAACTATTGGTTTTTAGCTATTATAGAAATATGAAAAAAATAAGTTTTGTTGATGCAAACAAGTTCAAACATAAATTATTAAATTATTAATCATTTTTTTATAATTATGTGTAGTATATAGAATAATGATATCGTCTCGACAGCAAATTTAGTTAGGTTGATACTGAAATTCTTGAAATGATGATCATACAATGTATACACTTAAAATTATTTACAATTTTTAAGTATTATCTAGTTCTTTTCTAATAATTTTTACTTGATATTTATGAAATTATATTTATTTTTATTTTTTGCATTTCAGGAAGAAAAAGAAAAAAAAAAGGTTGATCAATTAGAAAAAAAACGTGAAGCACAATTAATTTTAGAGGCAGAACTTCGTGATATTAAAACTAAGCAAATTAATCAAAAAGTTACTCAACATCAACTCATGGTAAAAATTTTTTAAAATAAAAGTATTCTTGTGTATTTAATAATATTAACAATATATTTTAAGAATAAAATTAAGAGTTAACAATATTTAATTGTGTATATAGTATTTAGAAGTTTTATATATTTCCTTTAAGTTTTAATAAAAAATATTGTATTGTTAAGTTTGATTAAAATAATGTATTTCACCATATATATTTGTATAAATTTATTTACTTCTATTTTTAGAAAGAACTTGAAAAACCTTCAAAATCTAAGCCAACTGTTACAGAAAAAGATGATTATGAAATTCCTATTGAAGAGAATCTTAATCACTTATCTATGCATGATGAAGAAGCTAGGACAGTAGATGAAGCTCTCAATATGCTTAAGTAATATTAGAAAACCATTTTACTTCAAATGATTTTACATATAAAATAAATTTTTGTTTTTTTTTTTTAGTTCTACCCAAAAGATATTGGATAAACATCCTGAAAAAAGACTTAAGGCAGCATATACTGCTTTTGAAACTGAAAATATTTCGCGTTTAAGAGCTGAAAATCCATCTATGCGGTTGTCTCAAGTAAAACAACTTTTAAATAGGGAATGGGCAAAATCTCCTTCAAATCCTGTAAACCAAAAGTATAATTAAGTAATGAGTTTTACTCATTAATTATAAATTAAAATGTACAAATTTGTATTTAATACACTATAGTATGACATTAAAAAAATTATTTATTTTATGCTAAAATCATTAATGATTGACTTATATAATATTGTATCATTATTGATAATGTGTATAACTATTTCTTTATTTGTTATTTAAGAATTAGTTTTTACAACTACTATGTAAAAATATATTGCATAAGTTCTTATAAGTGAAAAATAAGATAAAATGAAGTGATATTATATTTAATTATGATTGCATTAATATATCTAATTATTATTTAAAAAATGTATTAATTTCTGCAATTCAAAAGTGTTTAAAATATCTCAATAACGTTCTCTCAAGTGTTGCAATGGATTTCAAAAATATTCTTAGTGCAGTTTAAACCCAGTTCTGTTTATTTTGTGTTATGAATAATTAAAAGTCTTGAGATTTATTATTATGTTATTTGTTATAAACCGAAATCTTATACATATATTTTTTAATGCTGAATTATTAAACAAGTACAAACCAAAAAATATTTATATAGATTAAACAGGAAAATAACAAAATAAAATTATTAATGATAATTTAAAATTTTTCATAGGTGATAAGTATTAAAATTGAAAAGTTGATTAAACGCCTAAAATAATTTTAGAGGTTTATTGTTATTGTTATTTATTATATAAAACAATATTGAAAAATTTTTAAGTGAGTAGATTTGATTTGTGTAAGACAAATAATTGAATAAAATAACTTTTGACTTAAATCATTAACTTATTTGTTTCATGAAATTAACCGTGTGTATTTTAGTAAAGAATCATTTTAAATAATGTGAATGAAATTATAAATTTTTTATTGAACTCAATTATTTAGTTTTATAAATATCATTTTTATTTTACTATTGTAAATTTTTTTTCGTTATTAACAAATCAAATTTTGTGAGGTTAAGGTGGAAATATAAATGTTTAGAACCATTTCACAAATGTTTATCTATAAAGAGCAAAATCTTAGGATAAACACCTTTGCCACGAACTGATAATGCTCTGATTTTCATAGAATGGCTACTGCTACGCACATCTAATACTCCGGGTATCCAATACTACAGGTTACCAATTATCATAATGGATATTACTACGAATTTGAAATTCGAGGGCTATAGAACAGTCGAAATTAATACAGCCAAGTAGTATTTTTTAAGAAAATATTTTAGCCGAATAACTCCACTCCATCGTGGTTTTTTTATTTATTTTTTGTTTAATTTTATAGTGTAATAAGAGTATAGCGTAACCAGGTAATCGTACAAACTGTACTATTCATAGTAAATTTTGTTGTTTGATTATTATAAGTTCGTGGCAAACTCCGCAACTCAGAATTTTATACATTAACTTCCTTCGATAAATAAAACTAGTATAATTAGTTAAATTTCAATTTGATATTTTTAATAGTTCTAAGGTTACTGTTTTATAGACACTATTTATTTACCTTTACTACTATTTATATTATACTTTTATTAGTTGTTTGAGACCAATAGAGAATCCAAATTTATACTGAATTTTATTTAATTTTGGCAATATATGTTAAAGGGATATCCTGATTGTGTCTCAAAAAAACTTTTTCCGGATGTCCTAAGATTTCAGCGTGGTGTTTTTTTCGTAAACCAAATGTATCCTGTAGAAAAAAATAATTTCTCAAGTAGCCCGATGTACTCAGCTCATTTAGGTTATCCAGGGACACCACAAGTAGGCAAATTGGTTTATGATTCAAAAAATGTTTTTTTTTAATCATTTATAAATAATTATTGTTTTTCTGTATAATTTATAATAATATATTACATTACTGTTCATTAAAAAAAAAAAAAACTATTCAAAATGTCTGATTCTTATTACTAGTACTTATAATATTATCAATTTTTAATTGTGTTATGACACTTGTTGATTTGTATCAAGTTATTTTGTTATTGTTACCGCAGACGCAATTGGGCTGTATAATAAAAATGATTGATAAACTTGTGGACTCAATCGGGCTAAAATGCCTGAAAAAGGTAAAAATAAAACATTCGGGAATTCCCTATTTTAAAAAAGCAATCAAGGCAGATAGTCTAGGTATTGACACAAAAGGTTCACCGTGATTTTTTGTTGAAAGGGTCCAACCCTGGGTCAACATTTCCTAGTCAATATTATATCAAATTATGCTGAAATAGTTTACATACTTCTCCAAGCTGTTCCGTATCGCTGAAACCCATAAAGGTCGATTCGCACTATACGGAACGTCAACGACACGTCACAGATTGGCAGCTTCACGTCAAAATATCTAACCATGTATTTATATCGTATTGTTTACATACACCGGCCACGTTACGTAATGTCAACATCACGTAAGTACATAGTTAAATATTTTGACGTGACGTTGACGTTCCGTATAGTGTGACTCGACCTTTATACGCCATTGTCTTGGACTTGTACAAATCAAAACTCCAAATATTCTGTGAAAGGTGATAAATAATTAAATTGAATAACGCGGGAATTTGGTTCTGATATAATTTTAGAATTTCATTACTTAGATGTTTCAAATTATGTAAATTACTTTTTATAGCACAATAGATTTATTTATCGCGATGTCAAAAGTAATATGATTGTGTTTTCGATAGTGGTAACGAAATCGTTAACTAATAAAATTTTTCAAATTTGACAAAATTTAAAAATTATTTTTCATCGTAATTATTATGTTGAGTAATTAAAAATTTAATTTTTGTTGGTTTTCACTGATATCCAATAAACTTAAGAAAGTCAAAAACAGATAGATAAGACAGGCTTAATTTTTTTTTCACAGTTAACTGAATTTACTAATTATTAATTTATGTCTTTTTCTGTATTTACATTTTCTACCGACTATTTGAGATTAGTTTTCACTCTCTGTAATGAATTCGATCTTCGCCTTGAATACCAGTCATTAACTATGTAACGATATAAATTTGTATTGAAAAACATTCAATGCCTGATTAGACACAACAAATAATAAATAATAATTATATGTATTTTTTTAAATAAAAACAAAAATTTAATCACAATAGTACAAATCCAAAAATAATCTGTCCGATCCTTTAGCTTTGCAAAATAATTAAATAATCTTCTGCGGTCACTACTGACTGAAGCAAACTTGGACTTCTAGCAGCTTCATTGGTAACATTGGTTACGCTGTAGCTACGTCATATGCGCAGCTTGTTATGTCACTGTCCCATACGTTGCAGTCGCTCCCTTTGTGACATCTTATGTTTTATCTGATAACGCATATTCAAACGCAGTAAGAACTTTTGCGTCTTCATACGCATACTATCCATGAATTATTTAATTATTTAGTACATCTTGGTAGTTGTTCAATAGTTCAAGTATACAATGTCATTAAAATATTTTCATAAAGACATAATAAGTTTATTGTGTGTTACAAATATGTTTATTTTCAAACTTAAGTAATATCGGTGAAATCACTATATGATAATATACGCCACGCAAGTCATAAACCGTGTAAAAAAGGCACCGAATTGGGTCACAAAAAGCCCACTTCCGGTCAACAATGCCATGCGATGATAACAGTAATAATGATTATAAAATATTATATAAATTGATGTGAATTTGCAAAAGAAAATATTTAAAATGAATTCATTTAGTTCAATTAATTAAAATTTACAAAAATAATACAGTAAGTGTTACTGTAGTTTTGTCTCAAGTTAAAATAAACACGTTAACTTCGGTATTTTTTATATCACTTTGAAAATAACAGGGTTCGNTCTTTGAAAACAACTGGGTTCGAAATCATGTCATGGAAAATCAACAATTTTATAAAAGTATTATTTTAATTAACTTTAAATAATTTTTAATGTAATGTAAATTCAACATCACACATTGCTATTAAATCAACTCCAATATTCTTTGTATGTTTAATCGTTAAATTCGTTATTCATTTAATCTTAGCAAAATAAATAACGACGTGATTTTCTTAAACTTTGCCCTCGTAGAACTCATTACTAAGTTTTATAAATAAAATTCTTGTATTTAAATTGTACTGAATTAGTTTTTTTTTGTAAGCATATAGTAAATTCTATAGTCTACACTTAATACGCTGAAATAAACCATTAATTTTTTGCTCTTTATTTTTCCATCACGTATATTGAATTCATCTTTCTAGATTGCGAGTTTCGTTGATAATATCATAAATAATTGATTAATTTAAATTTAAAACAATTTCTATTGGTGATTTCAAGATTAAAAATGAATGCTGCAATAAAAGTAATAATATTTATTAATTTTTATCGAGAATAATTAATATTTTAATATTCAATTTTATTTTAATGCTTAATGAAATTCAGAAAATAACCATTTTGCAAACTATATTATAATTATAAAACGACATATTTTTGTAAGTTTTGTTATTATTAATGGTATAAACGGTTAAGAAAACCTCCTTTTAGGGGAAGGTCGCTATGGCCCTTAATGGACTAATAAACGCAAAAAAAGTCATTTAATCATGTTTACATGTTTTATCTAAAAGTTTTTGCTAGTGCCAGAAATAACGAAAAGCCTGCGATTTGTTTAGAAATCATTTTAATGACATAAAATAAATGAACGTGTTAATAAATAAACATTTGTTTCTCTTCTTCAAACAATATTCGTTCTTTAATTAAATAAAATAGATCTTATTACTTGCAAAATATATGAAAATAGCATGCAAATCGATAACATGCTTTTCTTCATTAAATGTTTACACTAATCCTGCGTTATAGTGTTTACAATTGTCTGGCGCCACACAATAGCTTACTATTCATTGTTTGTAACACTGTCCTAAAAAAAAAATACTGCTAAGGTTCCGCAAACAAAAACATCAACGATACATTGAATAATTCAAATTAGTTAAGTTATCGTGAACTAATTTAATTTACTTACTATAAATGTATATTTTAAATGTATAACATAAAATAAAAAATTTCCAATGAAAAATTCATGTAAAAATGAATGATTATTTTTGGCCCAATCAAAATCGATTTCTCGAATAATATTTCATTATTATTATGAAATAATAATGTATCTTTAAACATTATGTATTTAATAGAGAGGTGCTTTAGACTAATTTTCTTAAATAAGCCATTAGATTTGTCATATATTGTAGATATCTACGTTTAAAACTATCAATTATTCATATGTAGTTCATATTCCATGATAATTTTATTAAAAATTATATGTAAAGGTATTTTGTCAGTTTATTCTGTGAAGAGGATTATTATTACTACTACTCTTCACGCATGGAAATAACTTAGACTACAGATTATTCGGTTAAAAAAAAATTAATTACCGAACAAAAAATACACATAATAATAAAATACATTATTCAAGGTAAAATATTCAATTACTTATTATTAAGTATAAACGTATATATGGACATGCGAATACCTCAAATAATCTGTAAGCACTAAAGAAGTCATCAAAAGTTTTAGTTTCTTGGCTAACCACTACTGTTTACCACTTCATTATCTGTATACATGTATATACCACTACTGTATAATCATTTCAGCACTCAGAAGATTTATAAAAAATGTGTACCTATAAGTTAATAAGTTGAAAAAACCAGCACAGAGGGGTCACGTCGCAGTGGTAATGTGGCATAGTTGGATCAAGTATAATGATATCTGACAGTGATTAAAATCACTACCAAAAAAAAAAACGCTTCGATGCAAATCTTTAGATAGTGTTTAATTTTAAAAAATTGGTGGATTATTCCAAAAAGCTACATGATCTGCTATTTTCTTATTAATATCCTGAACGAAAAAGGGATTACTAAAAAATTTATATCTCATAAAAAAATTGTGTTTATCCATACACTTTTCAATAAGTTATAGCACTATTAAGTTAAAAATATAAAAAATAAAATCAAGAATTTTCACACAAAAATAGCATTCGGTAGCCATTTTCACCATGAAGACAAGTCCAGAGGTCAAATTTCTTTTTTCATAATAAAGAACATTACATTAGCTTTAATTTAAGATATATATAAAAGTGTCAGACCTTCCGGAACATTTTCAAAAGTTAAGTTGAAAAAGTTAAATTTTTGTAAAAAAGTTGTCATTTTAAATCCCCCTTCTGTGGGCAGGTTAAGTGTCAGATTTACAAAAGAAATATACCAAATGATAGGTAAAAATATCAAGCATCTATAAAAAAAAAAATTATATTGATATGTTCATTTTTGAAAAAGTTACAGCAGTTTTTAGTAAAAAAAATTGAAAAAATTTCGAAAATTAGCGATTTTTAAATTTGTAATTTTTTTGGAGGTTTCCCCCATTTACGGGGAACGAGGGATATTTTTTCAATTTTTGAGGGTAATGTCTTCGACTAGATACGATTTGTGATCTCTTGACGTATCGTTGAAAGAAATCCGTTCGGTGAGAGCTGAGAAAAAGTGGTAACAGACAAAAAAAAATAAATAAACACATCTTAGTAAAACCAATACCTTCTCAGCTTCGCATCGAAGCTAAAAGGATGTCAAAAATATACTGTTTTTATATCATGAAATAAATTTGCTTATAAGACTTTTAATATTAAACAAGAAATATATGACAAAAATGATTCAGTGAAACGATAGAAATTAATTACATTGGAAAATGCCTATGTTGGGTGATTTTGAGTATTAAATAGGTACCTATGCCATTAGCAAATAAATAGCGTGGGATATTCATTAACAGAATTTATTGGCTAATGTTCATAGCTTATCGTAAAATTATGATGATACCTCTTATTATTACAGAGCCTTATACTTAATATTGATTACATGTATCTTACAAATTTATGTGTACTTATACATTCCTCTGGGAGCCTAAAGTACTAGAAATATGATTAAGAGCGCAACATTAACAAATATTTGAATTAATATTCAGCTACAAGCACAGATTAAATATTTTTTATTTTATTAATATTACCTTACATATTTTTAGGAAGTCAAACTTAAGATAATAATTTTAGTTTTTAAATATGAGTAAACTATTTTTTACGTGATTTAAATAACTTATATTTCTAACTAACTAATTAACGTATGCTTACTATAGAATTAGTTTACAATTAAAAATGATGAAACGTAGTGTTGTTTTTTTATTACAATTTTTAACCAATTTAGATTAGATTTGGTGTAAGATACATTTATAGGAAACAGATTGCTCTGATTTTATATTGTCTGTTTAACTATAGAGAATGTGGTAAAGGAATTGCTTTTGGCTGAGTGCGATTCGTTGACACGTAAAATTGCAGGCTGGGCACTTTTAATAGATGCACATAGTCACAAGCATCATAATACTATATTAATAAATACGTACTCTCTCGAGTCAAGATACATGTACAAAAGGGCTTGTTAAAGGCTGTCTTTTGAAAACGTTAAGTATTGTTTGCAACTGTCTGGCGTTTCCTCGAGGATATAAATTACAAGTTGCGTGGACTGTACATCAAGAAGACCCGTATAAACGAGCTATACTTCCCTTGTATTTTTCTTTTTTATTCGTTTGCTTTCAATCACTATTTTAGTGTAGCACTTAAACATTTTTAAAGAAATTCTGATATGAAACATACAAAAGCGGTCTTTAAATGAACAACGTGTTCAAAGTAAAGCTAAACACTAAGTTTTAATGTTCTCTTAAATTTAAAATATGAATTTTATATAGAAAAAGATTTAACGTATCAGATCGACGATCTCAAGTGAAAGAAATTGAAAAATAGTTTTAACTAAAAAAAAAAATATTAAATTAAATTTTATATTACTGTTTTATATTCTAATTATATTTTTTTATACCGAATAAAAATTAAATGCCTCTTTTAATGTTATTACTGTAAACAAACAAATAGCTTGACTATTTACTAAAATTTACTTGTATCATCTTCACTTGGCTACGATTTGGTTAAGTTTTTATAGTATAATTATTTTAAATAATATTATATATTTATAATATGATTATATAATAAACGTTATAACGTTTATTCAGCGTGGGCATAATGATTAAGTTAATAATAAAGAATTAAAGTGAGAAAGAGGGTTGTTATTTGAATTAGATACTGAAGTTTAAAATATTTTAAAGTAGTTTAGTCTTCTTCAATTTTATATAAACAGATGAAAGTTAAAGCAAAAAGTCTTGATGGAATTTGAAATCAGAAATACCTCCAAATATTTAATTTACCAGACATTTTTCACTGAAAATATTTAATAAAAAACTTACTTATAATCAATAGTTTTTGAAGTTTTTTAATGGTGTACGATTTCTGGGTTTATGTATACATGATAAAAAATCTGTGGTAATTTTCAAATAGCTGATATATTATAAAAAGAAAAATTATTGATATATTAGCTTTTGGAAAATAATTACAGAAACATTGTAGTGGCTAAAAATACCTTTGAAGTACTGATTTAAAACTATTTAAACAGAAGATGTTATTTTATTAATGTTAGATTTTTAATTAAAATTCTTTTGTGGTGTGCAGTAGTTAAATATTACTGTTTCATTTTATATTATCATCTAAGATTTCAACCACAAATGATCTCCTTTATGTCGGGTCATCACTGGGCAATATGTTAACTGTACTTGGATTTTTAAATTATATTTCAGCCATTTGTATACATCTGTTAAGAATATAAACGAATTAATTTTTAATATTTTACTATTTAAATTGCATTGTTGGAAAAAATGTAAATTTTTTTTTTTTAACGCGCAAAACAATATGTGATATAAGAATCGTATGTATAAAATAAATTATCTATATATTACATAAATGTTCACGAAAACAATTTATAAAGCAGTTAAGATATCATGTTTCTCATAAACGACCAAGTCACGTATTTAACACATATAAGTCTACATATTTTAAAGCCAATATAATTTAAACAGCAAACAACAATAAACCTAATAGTTTTGTACTTTTGAGATTTATTTTTAGAAAACCCTTAGTAGAATAAATTATATGGTGTTATTTATTAAAAATGTAGATTAACTGATAGTGTTTCACCATTATGTGAGTGTTTTCATTTGCACTTTATTGATTTAGGTATCGTGTAAAGTGTTGACTTTTTTAAATTACGCTATTACAAAAATAAAATTGAATTCATCGGGTTTGCTTAAAATAAAATTATCTTAGCTTTTAAGTTTTATACTTTTTATATAGCAGTAATGATTAAAAATATCCTAGCAAAATGTTGTTTGTCATTATTAAATGGGTTAAGAGTTTTTTTTTTCGTGCTCGCTATGAAATTCTGCTCGAACCTATTCAAAAGACGCCCATTTATATGATTCAGTTATTTATGACTTTATATTTGTTTGTAACCATAATTTTTCTTATATGAATTATTCATTTTTTGTTTATTGAAATTTAACAAAAATGTAAATTTATTAGAATGTAAACTTTAAAAAGATGTTTGATTGTCAGTTACAATTTATCAATGTCTAAAAGATTTGCTAAACCATAGATTATTATTAGGTAGTTAAATAAATATATCACTAGATATGGAATTTGGAGAGACATGGCAATCTTTGAACTGCTGTCAAATAATGAAGTTTGAACGTGATTTTCAGAATAAAGGTTAACAAGAGCAAAAATTATTGTTATATTAAAAACTTGAATCTGACAGCCTAGCAATTTTTTTCTTATTAAATTTGGTATATTATTGTATAATGAAAATAAAAGTACTGACTCCAGTTAATTAATTTAATTCCTCAATTAATATAATAAAATATTCTCAATGTAAATGTCAGTAATATATCGAGGATATAAAATGAAAGAACCGTATCAATAAATTTCTTACATTTCAGGAGGAGAGCTAAAAAAAAAAAAGAAATGTTAACGAGAAAAATCTAAAAAAAATACGCTTTCCTATATTAATTAATGGTACTTCATTTTCACTTAAAAAATATTTTTTATATTGGTTGAAATAGACTAATAATCTAATATAAGATTATATGATTAGCATTGTATATTCACTTATGATATGACAAGTAAGCTAATATAAATGAAGCAATCATAACAAGTAGTAGCTGAATATGGCCAACGTCATTGTTAGTTTTTATCTCTAGTAAAATTTGTGATAAATAATTATTATGATAAAAAAATTATTCTAAAAGTTTAGTAATTTTGTAAAATGGCACATTCAACCAAATTTTTAGTGCTATTAAAAAATATTACTTATTTTATGTGTCTAAAGATAGGTTAAGCTGGTTTACGTGAAATTTTATGTATTTATAATTTAAATCCAACCAACTCTAGAATGTGCAAGATTTTTTATACGGATACGTATCTGAATTAAATAAATAAATATCTTAACTTCACTAAATGGAATTCATTTTACATTACAAAGCTATATATGTAGTAAATAATTTAAAAAGTAAAATATTATTATTGTCAATGATTTTACAATCTTCAAAAATTAAGTATCAGTAGGATTTCATTATAATTCATTCTACAAATGTTATTTTTAAAATATTTTAACCATTCTTACAAAATGTTGGCGTGTTGATGAAAACTTTTTATAATGATTATTCCAAACCATCTTTTTTTAACTATGAATTGAATTTGAGAAAATCTGAAAAGATATGTAAAAATACATTTATTAGAAATATATCATTTATAATTTTCATTTTATTAAATTCTTAAACACTTTTTAAAAATGATTTTTAAATATAAAGAAAACATACATTCAATAATAATTTTTATTTCTACGATTTTAATTTAAAATTAATTGTTTCTTTTTTTCGAGGGAGAAATTTATTTAAGAAAAATACTAATTCTACATATTTTGTTTTCTTAAAAAAAGAAATTAATCCAAAGAGCATGAAACATTTTATTATAATATTTAATATATTGAAATGGATAAAGAAATCCTGTACTATATTAAACCAATATTTAAACTGATTTTATTCTATTATATTTTTAGAGGATATTTGCAAATATACCTTTTGTTTTTATGTAAATAAAAATGTATATAGACATTTACAAAATTGAGTCCACTTGTAATTTTTAACCCATGTAGATATTATTTTTAAGAAAAATGTATGTTTTTCTTTTATAATCAATTATATATAAATATTATTAATATTTCTAAATAATAATAACAACTATTAATAACTGTTATGATGGTATAATAATAAATTTGAAGAAAATGTTTCTTTCATATTAAAGTCTTCTAATCAAGACACAATTTTTACATAAATTCTTTTACCAATAGATGTATTATATAAAATTGTTAAATAAAGAAATATATATTTCCCTACCAAAGTAATAAAAATATAACAATTACTTAATATAATATAATATATTATAATATGTATAATATTAAAAAATGTGAAGAGTGCGTTTTAATTTGAGTTGAATCAACTTGATCAACTTGGTTTTGTAAAACTTATGGTACTCATACCTGAACAGCTTAAAGCATTTAGTGTTACGAGTTCTTCAAAAATATCATACTAAATAATTTTATCCAATTTATACTGACTAAACCAGACCCAAACCCTTTTCTGTTGAGGGATTGCCCTAAAAAAGTTTTTAATGATCTTTTTAGTATTAATAATTATAATAGATAAAAAAAATACTTTTAACGAAAACAAAAATAAACTCGACAAATTTATATTTCTAGTGATTTACGAATAATTAACTAGGGTCAAGCGGTTATTGAGTTATATTATTTTGTAATCAGATGAAGGTTTTTGAATAATTCTGTATTTAAGAAAGCTGAAACTTAGGTAGGTTCATACGCTGACCTGAATAAGTAATTTATCTTAAAAAAACATTTCTTAATTGAAAAGTTTTTCTCCGAGTGTCACAAATGATTAAATAGTAGTAGTAACATTAAACGATTATAACTTAATATTTATATAAGAACTTTTAATAAAAAATATAATTAAACCTTGATCGAATTATTTAACAATACTTTTAACTTAAAATAAAAAATGAATAATAACAATTATTATAACACAAAATTAATACATAATACAAATAGGGAAGTATAATATGGATTCAGCAAAGTCAAGTTAAGGCATACTACTAAATCATAATAACAAATTCAAAATAGGGGTTCTAATTTCAGAAAATTCGAGTTATTGTTTTTTAACCTTGAAGGGATGAAAAAAAATATGTTTTTACTACATATTATTGTAGAGTTTTATGAATTAAACAATATTTTCCTAACCAAAAATTAAAAAATTTCAATAGTTACTGAGAAAATGAGTGTCTTATCTTTAATGAATCACTCTGTGTATAACATATATGTAGATTAGTAATAAGTGATTAAAATCACTGTCATAAAATGCTTTGATGCTCATTTGAAACATATTAAAAACAAATTTAACATATCTACAAAAAATTCCATGGTTTTTTATTTTATAAATTGAATACTCATAGAGGATATGTAATCATAACGGTTAACTTTTTTAATTACATATTAAATTAAATAAAACATAATTTGAAAAAAATTTAAATGATTTAAACATTCTGTTATTAATAAATATTATAAAATCATCTAATTTTACTATAAATTGCATTGTTTTTGGATTTAAGGCTCAGTAACTTCTAAAAATCGAGATTTCGTATAATTTTTCTTTTTTATTTTAAAGTACATAGCATTAGCTTTAATTTAATGTAGGTTTGATAACAGCAGGTCTTTCAAAACATTATCAAAAATAGAAAAGAAAAAATTTTTAAATAATTTTATGACCCTATAGTACTTTGTTTAAGATTGAATTTTCAAAAAAAAAAAAAATGTCATCAACAAGCAAACGTTTGAAGTATACGGTCAATTAAAGTAGTCGGTATAATTCATCCAGATTTTGATCTATGCATTATTCGAGTGGCTTATGATATCCTCCAAAAATCACGTTATTATTGCTTTTAGACGCCAATAACTCATAGAAGACTAGTAATCGGATCGTTTTTCTTTTTTATCGATAAAGTACACAAATAAATTTAATTTTTATAATGTACATGTTATGTTGCTATGCAACACACCTCATAATGAGTTATATTTACTGATAATGGTATGATTTTTGGATAATTGGTCGATAATAACTAGACATTAAGTTTTGAGATAGTTTTTCTTTTTTCATGCAATTATCTTAGTTTTAATTTGACACAAGTTTTAAAGAATACAGGTTTTTGAAAAAATTAAAAGAAAAATATTGTATACGTTTTTATACTCCTTCAGTACCTTTGTTGATGATTGAATTTTCAAAAAAAAAAATATGTCATCAATAAGCAATTGTTTGAAGTTTTATTAATAAAAATTTGCAATAATCCGTACAGTTTTCAAAAAAATATTGTAATAGATATCAAAAAGTTTCAACGTTTTGTGATCTTTTAACGTATTGTCGTTATCACGTTTAATTTTTGTATTGTCAAAAAATACGGCCAAGTAATACTAATAGCTTTTCAGTTTCGCATCTGAATTAAATATTTTATACGTTTTTAATAATAGTTTTTAAATAATTTTAATTTGAAAAAATAAAAATATTAAGTAAAACTGAATTAAAAAAATTCTTAGAAAAAAATAGAGATCAATGCAATTATTTAAATAATATTGTATATTAAAATCGAAGAACAGAATTCAAATGAACTCCGATAAGTGTTAATATGAACCGTTACATTACCATAATTTAATCAAACTAAAATTCGGAAATCATTATAATTGAAATATTATTACTAAGTACCAAGAGGGTAACTTTGTTACCAACTAATCGTTGGAACTTGATGATTGGTGATCACAGTACTAACAGTTTAACGGTTATAATACTGTAACTGTTCAACGTATGATTGCCTTAAAACTCATGCGCCACACACAAACATATCCGAGTTGGTACGTGGAGGTTTAGTTCAGTACGCTACCCGTTGATCTGACTGTAAAACGTGTACTGCAAATCTCAAATAATCGAACTCGACCATTTTGTGTAAAATTACTTACATTGTGACTTCAAGTCACACGATAAAACATTTTTTGAAATGACTTATTGTGCTGTATGGTTAGTATATATACCGCATTAAGATTTCGGATAATATTTACTGAGGTAAGAAAATGATTTTTCTTCACAATTAAAGTAGCACGTTTAATCTAAAATGTTTTCTTTTAAGCTCTTATATATATTAATTTTTATTTGACGCAACATAAAAGTACAAAGTACTATGCTATTACAGTATTACTACCCGACTCTACAAATCTATACGACGATGACATGCTAGATTCTTGTCAGTTAAGACATGGAAGCCGATCTTTTTTTTAACCAAAAAAGAAATCATAATCGTAGGGGCGAATAGTAGTGACGTGTTGAATTAAAATAGAAATTTTAAGAATGTCTTAAAAAATTCAACGTTGGAGACAAAATAAAATTTACAACTTGGACCATTGTAAGGAAATTACAGTAATGTAAACACCCTGTGAAATGTTCTCGAAATTCGTGTGCTTAATGTAAGCACTATCGTAATCTTTAAATTGTCAACAAGGGCACAGGTGTTACTATGTTTAACTATTATGATAAAAGTGAATCTTGTACCAAATAATTTTGGAAATAAATAACAATAAAGTACCAAGATTAATAACAGTAATAGTTTTTACTTACATTTCAATACACTAATGTAGAAATATTGCATATACATAACCCCGTTTAAATCCAAATTTTTTACTTAAAAAAAATAATAATTTATACGTACAATTTTTCATTATAATATTAAAATAATTCTATTATTAAGAAATAATTCGAGGTCAATTAATTTTCGTTGATTTTTACTTATTTGTAAAATAAGTTGAAAATGAATTGTCTTTTATACGGAATTGACATAACATTGTAAATGGTGTGTTTTTTAAAAGTCTGTTAACAAATTTTCCCTTAAAATATTATTATACTAACTTGAACCATTTATTTAAAAATCGACGGAAGTCACAAATTTCTGAAAATTATGTTTTTCAATGAAATAAGTTTTTTTATAGACAACGCTTTATTTATTTATTTTTTTTACAAACAAATTTTGGTGATTTTTAAATAATTCCAATAAGTTTGAAAAGTTTTGAAAAATGATTAAAAATTTTCTATGAATGGTTGTACTAATTAATAAACATGTATCCAGTGCCTGATGAAGATTTTAGGTATAATCTTAGTATAGTAATTCGTGTAATAATATACCGCAAAAATAAAACAAGTATTGTAGAAATGACGTAAGTTTGCTTCAAACGCGTCCTCTTTAGTTAAAATAGGGTTATTTTTGTTTGTATTAATTTGGTGTATCTCTTCAAATACATTCCTTTAGAAATTTTAGTCTCATTGTAATACACCAATAATAGCTTAAAAATAGTTTTTTACTGTTTTCTGTGAGTTTTATGTTTTGAACTTTCTTCGTTTTTCAAAATAAATGATTCAGTCTAAACAATTTCATTATTATTATTTTACAATATTTTACAATATATTATAATTATATACAAACGCATGGTTTTAAAAATAAGGTTAAAACTCGAACAAAACTGAACGGTTTACAAATAAATTTCTTGGGTGCTCTCGACTAAGTTTGGGTAGGTTTGGTATAACTTTCAAGTTTTCAGACACCAAACGCTGGTGACAGTGAGGATTTTTTTTTAAAAGAATCAAAATTTTTAAATGTTTACGGATTGCTAAAAAATGTTTTCTGATTTGCGCAAATAGTTTTCTTGTAGTAATGTCGCTAAACTCTTTCATTAAAAGAAAGAAATTGAAAATCGGGAGTATTAAGTAATTTTTCCATAAATGGCGAATTTTTCTTTTTTTTTGAAGATAAATTTTTATTAATATTTAATTAAAGCTTAAAAATAAATATTTTTTGATTTCAAATTTTATAAAGTAGTCTCAAAATCTATTTAATCAGTTATTAAATATGTCTAATAAATAAAAATACTTGTTTTAGTACATTTTAGGATTCCTTCACAAAAAAATGTACCATAGTAAAACAGGCGTACTATGATGTACATCATAATATCTCTTTTAAAAGGGGTTATAAAATGGGAGGGAATTAGATGACTAAGACAAATGTCGTTTTTTAATTAATTTTTTTAATCAAAAAAATTGTCTATAAATGCTCTACATCAAAAACTAAGTCGTGGTACCAAATATGTAAAATATTTTGTCATTTATAAAAAGTAAAAATTAATTTAAAAATATGTTTACTATTTTATAAAACTATATTACCTATACAAAAGCTTAAATATCAAAAATCAATTATTAAATAAAGTTTTTCAATTCAGCAGTTGAAAAGTAAAAACATTAACTTATTAAAATTTTCATTAATTTTTTTACTATGCATGAAATTACTAAAAAAAACTAAACATTTTGATATTTGAGTAGTTGTAAATATATTAAACTTGTTAGACTTTATGTAAAAGAATTGTAACGTTCAATTAAGTTTTGTAACACTACAGCTGACAAAAAAATATTTTTTTTCTTTCCATAAATTTTGTAAACTTATTCTAAGAACTTCAAAGAAAGTTTTAAGTGTAACTTTGAACGTAATGAAATATTTAAAAATTAATTTTGCTTAGCCTAGAATAGGTCTTCAAGTATAAATTTACATGTTTTTCTACTCTTATTAAAATAAAATTTACCTATAAATCGATAAAAATAATATTTCCATAACAACTAATTGCTAAGTTAATAATATATACTATAAGTATATATATACTTTATTAATTTAATTTAAATAATAATCAGGCATTTTATTTAAAAATAAAGTTAAATGGAACCAACTTATTAAAAACCTTTTATTAAAACTTTGAGTAAATATCTAAAGTTTGTTTGGTTAAGTAGTATTTTATGAGGACATTGAAAATTTCCTCTTTTATTTTTGTGATTATCAATGATCTGGATATAATCCAAAGTGTGTTTTTGATAAATTATAGAAGGTCTTAGACATTTTATTACGTAAACCCTTTCCAAATTAAATTTTAACGGAGTGGATGAGGTTGGACTTTCTAAGTTACCAATTCTTTTTCGATAATGTTTTCGTATTTTTCAATGGATTGTTGAAAAAAAACTTGTGCTGATTAGTTCTAGTATACGTTTAAAAGAGTGAATACTGTGATATGATTAATTTGTTACATAGTTCCATAGTCCATGTTATTATCTTAATCACGTCAAATTTTGTTTTATGTATAATTATTAATAAATTATTTATAAACAAAACTTAAAAAAATATACTAAAGAAGTATTATGTATAGAAAATTTACTTTTTCATATATTTAATAGAAAAGTGGTAATTATTGTATATATAATATAGTGTTTAAATAAAACAAAGAAATACTCTACAAAAATCATATCTATATGACTTTTAATATAAATGCCGAATTGTTTATTATAAAATAATTTTACGAATTAATTATTACCACAATGGATAAAATGGCTTGATCCAACTAATGTAAATAAAGTTGGCATGTTAACAGAAAAGACTTCACAAAGGCTAGTAATATTCTTTGAAATTATTATATCCATTGTAATGTAAATCTGTCATGTAAAAAATTTTTATATATGTGATAGTATATTTTTGTGAATTAGGGGAGTCTCAGTGTAATTTTTTTTATAAAAAAAGACACTTTCGTTTATGTTTATACTTATTCATAATGATTTTTCTATCAAATCAAAACTAAAGGCCTAGAATTATTTTTATGATATAATAAATGAAAAAATATTTATTTGACACCTTTGATGTAGTAACGAAAATTCTTCACGTAGGGTTGAAACTTAAATAATTGTTCAGCATTGCAAAATCCACAAACGTAAATCTTAGTTGGTGTAATTATTTGACAAACGAAAATTCGAAAAATTTAATCAAAATACTTTATATTGTAAAAAAAATACTTAAACTTCAGCTACAACAAAAAAAAAATTCATAATGAAAAGACTTTTTTCGATTTAATCGGGCCATTTAATTTTATAAAAAAGTTTGAAAACTAGCACACAAGCAACACATTATAAAATTTAACATGAATTGTTTAGTTGATTTATAATACCTTAACGCAAAGAATAAAAACATGATCATTTAACAGAGAATAGGATATGAAGTTTATAAAACAATATGCCGTTTTGACATAGAAATAACAAATTTACGTTTTAAAATAAATCAAATTTTAAGTATAAGTATGAATAAAATTTCCTGAACATAAATTTATAGTAATTTTATATTTTTAAATATTGAAATGAAGTATTTTATAAACACTATTTTAAAAAGCAATTTTTTGTTTTCTAAGTTCAAACCATATTATGCCATCCCCGATGTTCATCTATACGTTAGTCACTAGTAGAGTTAAAATTGTTTATATTAAAATATATTGTTATTGCACGTGTTTATTTATTATTGTTGCATATTGTAGTTCTATTTAATTGAGTACCTTGTTAAAAAGGTTTTAAAGTTAAATTGTTTGCAAATTATAGTTGTTGGTCACTTGACTATAATATTTAAATTTAAGACATTTATCACTCGACTTGAATAAATTCATTTTAAAAAGGTAGATTAGTTATAACTAACTAATATTCCTTCTAACTAACTCATACCTAATCAAATTTTTTAAAATTAATTTATTGAAATCTATTTTATATTATCAATTTTCGAATATTAAACAGCCGCACGAACTGTAAGTTTTAGTTATATACAACAAAAGTTACTTAAATCGTTCTAGAAATGTTTAATGAGATTAGTGTACAGCTAAAATGAAAAAAAACTTATTTTTAATAGTTAGATTCGATTTATTATTTTAAAAACTATGAAATGATAGTGAATTTAAAATTTAAAATGCGATAGAGCAGTTAAACATGAATTCTTGGAAATAACTTAAAATAAATTTAAATAGATGTGTTTTTCTATAAAGTTAATTCATACGTTAATGAAAAAAAAAAACATTTAAACTATTTCGTTTAAAATGGCTTCTTAGGGTGAAAAGAAAATATATCGCCAAACTTACGTAATAGGGCAGCTATATCCGAAAAACATGTCCATTATTTAAAATTGAATGAGCCATAGCATAAAGAAGTCAACAAGATTGATTCGAATAAAGAGA